GGTTCCCAGGCAGGTGTTGACAATTATTGCCAATCCTGTCTCCAGGAAGAAGGCCCTGTGCTCCAAAGGGGCCTGTGGGCACTGGGGATGCTGCCCTGCCTCTGCCATTTACTGCTGAAAGCTGGTTCACTGCCTCGTTAAAACCTCAATCCGAGCTAAGCCCCTCCAGCTGTCCCCAGAGCGCTGCCTTGTCCTGGGTTATGCAAATGCAGAGGAGGCTGCAGGGCAGGGCTGTCCTGTTCAGTGATCCTGAGGGGAGCAGGGGCTCAGACCTGAGCACTCACTGATGATCCCTTCCCTTCTCTGTGCCTCCAAGTAGGACATCCAGGGACTTTGTTCCAGAGAGCACTTGTGTGGCACCCAGAGCCACCACACTCCTGCTGTGGCCACTGCTCTGGGCAGGTCCTTGCCCACAGGAGCGAGCTGAGGCCGTGGAGCCGGGCTGAGCTGCTCTGGGGTACCTGCCAGGGTCCCTGCGGTGAGGAGTTCACGTGGATCAGCTCGTCACTCGTTTTGGGAAGGGCACAGCACGAGGTTAAAGCAGTGCCAGCTGTTGTTTGTGACTGAGGGCTGGCAGCTGGGCAGTGCCAGATGCCAGTGGCTGAGCTGCAGAGGTGACTGACCCCTGCCTCGCCGTGGGGTGCTCAGTCTCCAGTGCCTGGAACAGGCAAGGGGAGAGGGGACAGGAGAGCTGCAGGGCACGGTGAGAGTCCTGCTTCACTAACAACTCTCTTGCCAATTAAATTACCTGGCTGTGGGCTGGCTTTGATGCACAGCTTAGAGAAAGCAGTCACTAATCCACCAAGTCAAATCCTGTTGCACCAGCACTTATTTGTGCCTTTTAACAATCACAGAGGTTTCATTTTACTTGATTTCATGTCCTGTCTGTCGCTTGACCTTCAGGACTTCAGGGGACAGAGCGTGCTTTGATTTTAATGAAGCCTTTTCTTTTCAGCTGTCCAGAGCTCTGTGGCACTGAGGAGAGCTCGAGGGTTCTTCTGGATGCAGGAAAAAAGAAAACAGCCACAGGCCCTGGGCAGTGAACTCCAGGGAGGGATGTGGAGTCCTGAGAGGGTGGGCAGGCCCTGGCACAGGGTGCCCAGAGAAGCTGTGGCTGCCCCAGCCCTGGGAGTGTCCAAGGCCAGGTTGGATGGGACTTGGAGCAACCTTGGCTAGTGGAAAGGTGTCCCTGCCTGTGGCAGGGGGTGGGACTGGATGAGCTTTAAGGTCCCTCCAACCCATTCTGTAATTCTGTGATTTTTTAAGTACTGTCCTGTGTGTCATACAGAGGTTTTCCCAGGGACACAGGAGAGGGATGCAGTGTTGGAGCTGCTCAGGAGAGGATGCCTTGCAGTCAGCACCCCTGTTAGAACCACGCCAAAGGCTCCAGAGACACCAGGACACAACAGCACCAGCTTGGGCTTCACGAGGTGCTGCACAGCAGGTGCTGGAGGGGCTCAGGGTGTCACCCTGGGCCAGCCCACCAGGCTGTTGTTTGTCAGAGCGTGGGTGGCTGTGGTAGCTCCACAGAGCCCGGGTTTGTGAAGGGGGCAGGGGTGTGGGTGCACACACATGGGTATGTCCATGACCCAAGCCCAGCTAAAGCTGCTGAGCTTTCAGAGCCCATCTGCTGGACCATCAGAATTTATAAAATTATGCTTAATCAAGTCCTTGACATAGGGTGATTAAGCTGAAAGCCCTGAGACGGTGCTGCCAAAAGTGGGGGTGGCTTCAGCGACAGGTCCTTTGCTTTAGGGTGTCCTGGCCTGGACACTTGCCCTGTGCTGAAGGAATAGGACACTGAAGGGGGTGCTGTGGGAGGGTCTCTCCCAGCTGGTCAGGGGAGCCTCAGCCACCCCTGTGAGTGTCACTGCACATCAGTCCTTCACCATCCCAAGTGTTCCTGTGTGGAGCAGCCTTGTCCCAGGGGTCAGCCCAGCAACCACAGGAGTGCACAGCCAAGAGGTGACACAGGAAAAGGAGCCAGCAGGTACATTTTAAATACTTTTATTTCTTAATTTACATAAAGGTATATATTTGGCTTATTTATCTTTTTTTTTTTTTATACTCTGAGATTCACAATCAATTGCTCTTAAAAAATAAAATAGTCATTTGCTTCTGAAAGAAATCAGAAAACTATTTTATGCTCCTCCCTTGTATAACAAGAAAATTATACTAATACTCCCATACATCACATAGTAAAAGTGATTGTTAAGTGCTGGTTTACCAAACAAGAAAGCAAATGGGGAAGAAAACGAGCAGTTGGGACGGAGGATGCTGAGAGAACTCTGCTTCCCAGAGCACAGCCAGTCATTTGGGGGGTTTGGTCTCACCCTGAGGGTCTCCCTTGGCCAGTGTGAAAGGGGAGAGGCTCCTGGGGCCACCCAGAGCTGCCCTGGGAGCGATGGCAGCTGGAGCCACTTGGGTTGGCAGTTTTGCTGCCTTTTGGGGCATTGTCCTGCCTCCCTAGGCAGGTCCCACTGCCTCAGTTCCCCTCCCTGTGCACAAACCACTGCCTGGGCAGCGGTGCCAGGGCAGGATCAGCTGGGAGGGGGCAGTTAACGCTTTAAAAAATCCCCTTTAGGAAGTGGAGGAGAAGAAAACCCTCGTGGTTCTCTGAGGGCAGCCTGGAGCCTTCCTGGGACCTGACACTGCAGGTCCCACAGCCCGTGGGGAGCTGGGAGGAGCCTGGGCCTCCCTCTCCTAGCCTGGAACACGTGGGAGCAGGGATTCAGGCATCCCTGGGTGCAGGTAGGACTCAATTCTCACTCCCTTGCTTGCTCCCTTCCTCTTGTTCGACAGAGCCCACAGCAATTCCTTCAGAAGATGAAACCAGCACCGAGCTCTGGGACCAGGGCCTGTCACAGACAAGGGCACTACAAACCACTTCAGTTCCCTGGTCGTGGCTGACTCCCCAGAATTCAGTTTAAGGAGAATTCCTGATCTCTGAACCTTGGCAGGAATGTTTCATTTTGTTGACAAGCAAATGCTACGACAGAGGGAGCCTATTGGAAAAGCAATTTCGGAAATGTGGTTAATCTGCTTTGGTCTTGGAGATGAAATGACTGATTGTTGGGTTGCTTTTTGTTTCTTTTTAAACAGCTTAACAAGGAATTTCTTAACGGGAATCAGAAATTCATGTGCCTTTAAAGCCAAGAGTTTGGCTCCCACACTGCAGGGGCCTCGTTTCCCCTAGGAATGTAAACAGTGGCACGAGGTGGGAAGTGAAGCATTGTTGGGGATTTGCCTTGCTTTGTTATTCCAAGCACCCACTCCCTGCTCTCCAGAGGATGCCCAGGCACTCGAGGAACACTTCTGGCTCCAGTTCTTTAGCTGAATCTTAGAGCTGTTGTTCAGGTGTTTCAGGTGACAGAGCCCTTGCAGAGGAGTCCTGTGGGGTCTGAGGAGGGGGAAAGGCTCGTGGGGTGACAGGAGTCACCTCTGGAACCTGCCTGGGCAGGGACTGCCTGGGGTGAGCACCTGGAATCACAGCCATCCCCACTGCAAGGCTGTGCTGGAGGTCCCAGCACGGCCTGGAAGGGAATGGGAGATAAACCCAGATTTACCAACGGGACCTTCCCGTGTCTCTGGGCAGCCTTGAGGCCCAGCCAGGACAGCACCTTCCAGCCTTAACTTGCACCCAGTCCCGGCCTGGCAGTTCCTGAGCTGGTTTAGTCCTGCTTGGAGCCCAAGGGCAGCCCCTGGTGAGCCACGAGCACAGGAGGGGCCTTCCCCTGCTCGGGGTGCTGAGCTGGAGGGGGATCTGAACTGACAGGGTGAGCAGAGAGGGGGAGTGGGGAGCTCCTGGAGCCCCGTGGGAAGCAGCCTGGCTGGGCAGGGCCTGTGCTCTCTGTGCTCTCCTGGCTCTCCCACACTCCTGCAGCACCACCTGGCATGGCATCAGTTTGGCTCGTGGAGGCTTCCAAGTGCAGGAAACGAGGGAACAAAACCCAGTGGAGCGGCCCCAGGACCATCCCTGCACCTGAGAGCTGCCCAGTTCAGACACTGGCCTTGCCTGAAAGGCCTCAGATGCACCTTTGTGAAGGTGCAGGTGACACCCCAGGGAGAGCTCTTGGACTGGGCAGGGTTGGGTGTGCAGGAGCCCAAAGGCTGCTCCCGGGAAACAGAGTATCAGCCACTGCTTTGGAACACTGACAGGGAGAATTAGCATCGACAGTCCGTGTGATATGGCATCATGTAAACAAAGCACGAGGTCACTGGCACAGCAGTATTGCACTCCCAGGCCCAGGGTACAGCGGTTCAGCCAGGTGGATTTTGGTATTTTGAAAGCCTGTGAGCCTCCCAGGCAAGGCTGAATTGAGCGTCTGGAAAACTCCAGAGCCCGCAGGGATTTCTGCCCAACGTCCTGGGCCTTTCTGTGACAACCACCAGCATTGCCAGTGCAGTGAGACTCTCTCCTCTGCCCACTGCTCAGCCTCAGGTGACAGGGAAGGTCACCCACTGGAACTCCTCCTGTGGTGCCCTTGCAGGGCCTGACACCAGGGCTGAGACAAGGAGAGCTGTGGACATCGCTCATGTCTGCTGTGGTTGCACAGGCAGCTCCAGGTTTTAAACATTTAAATAAAAACTGTTTATCTAAATATATATATATATATCTCATCTAACATCTTCAGCAGAGATAAAGCATCTTATGACATACTTAAATAAAAAATAATAATCTTGAGTTGAGCCTTCAGTGTCAAAGCAAAGGTGATGCACAGAGCGGGCTCGTGCCGCCCGTGGGTGTGGGAGTGCTGGCAGAGCAGCAGCATCCCCAGGACACCAGCCCTGCAGACCACTGGACTTCATTGGCTACAACTCCAACCATGGACACGACCTGCAGTCACTCACTTGGGCAGCAGCTGTTGGTGCTCAGAGGAACAAGAGCCCTTCCCCTGGAGCGGGTCCTGTTCCAGTTGTTCTGCTCCCCTCCTGCTGCCCGACCCCCAGGCTGGGCTGGGGTGGGTGTGGTGCTGGAGAACCCCTCGGGCTGGAGTGGAGCTGGAGGATCCTCTGGGATCCAGCATGGAAGGGCTTCGAGCTTGAGGTTGGTGTGGTGGGAGCAGAGTCCACGAGTCCTTTCCTTCAGCAGCACCTGGGAATGGGAAGGGGAGGGAAGGGGGGGGTTAATGGGGAGCTCCCAGGGATGGATTGGTAAAGGGGCATCCCAGCTTTGGGGCAGGGCCAGCTCAGAGACCCTTTGTCTCTTTGCAGGGGGGGCCAGCAAAGCCTGCCCAGGGTGGAGGCAGCACTTTGGGATGTGCCGTAGCTGTTTGGAATGGGAAACAAATGCCCTGTGATCTGGACACGCCTCCTCCAGGAGAGCAGCAGCAGGTGTAGCTCCTGCCTGCTGTATTTTGGGGCATCAACCATGCCCTGTTTGCCAGGTGTGTAAGTACAACTGTTGATGGAGCAGCTCAGCAGATTACTGGGATATTTTTGCTACACTGTTTTTAACCCCCTCAGATTATTAAAGGAAAAGGGACTGACTGGGGGCTTAAATTGTCATTTTCCAAGCCTCTGTCCCTTGGAGGGCCCAGCAGCACAATCCCAGCTCTGGCTGCTGCCAGGGCAGAGCAGGCACTGCTGGTGGCCCTGGCTGGCTTCGAGGAGCCACATCAGCACCCCCTCCCTGCTGAGGAGCCACTCGTGGGGCCTGTCCAGCAGCTTTCCAAGATAACAGGGCAGGGACAACCAGTTCTCTCACTGCAGGATTTCCTGTCAGAGGGTCTGGGCTCCATGTTATGCAAGAAATTGCCCCTGACCTTAAAAATCAGTGACTGCTCAGTCACAGAACAATTCCCTGTGACAATGGCCTGGTTTATCTCAACCTCTACAGAACTGGAGCAAAAAAGAAGCAAGTGCAGTGAAAAACCTTGCTGTGCCCAGGACCCAGGTGGTCACTGTTTTATAGGGCAAGTCTCAGCAACACTATCTTGTATTTCCTCCCAGATTTGTTGAGGGGTTTGGTTTTTTAAACAAAAGAAAACAAACAAACAAAAAAACAACCCCCAAACTTTTATCTAAAAGCTACTGATAAATAATAATGTGTGAGCATCCAGCCCTGAGCCTGCAAGCTCCTGGCAGCCCCATCCCACAATCCACTCTCCTCTGTGGAAGTAACACATCTGCTGTGCTAGAGATTGCATGAAATCTTTTCCCTCAAAAGGCCATTCTTAAGTGTCTTGTTGAGTTCTGATTTTCTGATTAGTCTCTCAGTGCATTTAGTTTATGGGGAAAGAAATCTCCTCTTCAAAAAGCTGCTGTAATTAATTTAGGCTCCAGTGAAATGCTGGGAAGTGTTTTATCACTCGCTGTGGCTGTGGGGGAGTGATAAGGAGAATGTGGACACAGGGGGGAAGGGGATGGTCCCTCTAGCTCAGAATTGTCACCCTGGATTGAGGGTGACAGTGGGGACAGTCCAGCAACAAGAGGAAAGAGGCAGGTGCTGCCAGAAAACAAAGTTTGGGCAAAGTTAAGGGTGGTGGTTTGAGGGCAGCTGGTGCTGGAGCCAGAGCAGGGCAGCAGGAGCTTGGTGAACACCAGGTTTCCCTGTTCCTGATTTCCTCTGGTTTGGGCTGAATGTGGCAAAGGTGCAGAGCAGGGCTAGGTAAGGAAACTCCTCTCCAGGAATGAGGAAAGGAAGGGGTGGGCAGGGGTTTGGGGGTGCAGGGGCAGCTTGAAACCTGTTGCTGGTTTGGGTCACTCACCGTCTCAGACTTTGACAGAGGCTGGTGGCATCACGAGCTGGTTCACCCTGGTGAAGGGAAAACAAAGGGGTGTGAGAGCTGCAGTCAGCAAAGAAAGGAGTGCCCAGTGACCTGGTGGATCCAGGTGTCGGTTCCTTAACAGTGCCTGAAGAAACGGGACACGAACAACTGTCCTGCACAACGGGATAAAGCTCAAACCCTGTCACACAGGGCTGTCTGACAGCAGTTCTGGCAGTTGCTGGAACATGCCAAGAAGCATTGCTGACACTAATTGACAAGGATTTGGGAAGGTCCCAAAGGCAGCCAGGCGTAGTGACTGTTTCCCCGAGCCAGAACAAGAGTGTTTGTACAGCGGCTGGTGGTGTCCTTCAGCCTGACAGCACCAATGTAAACAGTCACCACTGATAAAAATTAAATTACATTAGGAGAAAAGGAGCTGCCTCTCAGTTTTTAGCTCCTGAAGACCTGCTGCTGTTCTGGACACCAGCTCCTGGGTGACGGACGGCACCCGGCGGGGACCGCGGTGTCACCCGCAGCTCCTGCTGTGAGGGGACAGCTCCTGCCTGCCCTGTGGGACCCAGGCACAGCAGCAATCGTCCTGCAAAGTCCAGCTCTTGGACCTGCTCCTCCTACTTGCAGTACAGACCCTGGAAAGTCCAGCCTTCCTCTGCAGCAACCACGTCCCCTCCCCGCGCCGCTCGTCCCTCCCAGAGTGGGTAACTCGGGGACAGGAGCCCTTTGGGACCTTCCCCCTGTCTGGGTGCTCACTGACCTCAGTGGGAGCACCTGGATTCTTACAACAACACTGGAGACCCCACCCTGCTCATGGACCTGCCTCGCCTTTGGCTGTCCAGGGGCTTCACCCAAAGGCTCTCTGGCTGTCCCTGGGCTAAAGGAGCATAAACCTGAGGCACAAAGGGAGAGCCTTCTCCTGACATTTGGCTGTGCCACGTCAAAATAAGGACCAAACTGAGCCAGCAGTGTGTTAGACCTGTGCTGTCACGTGCAAAAGCAGCTTCTCTCCCAGTCAGGGGAACACCTGGGCAGGTGGACAGGGGATATCACAGAAACCATCACTGCCTGAGGCCCTGCCAGGTGGGAACTCAGGAAAGGTTGATTCACTAAAACTCACCTGTGGCTCTTCACCACACTTTGTACTGACCCTGGACACTCTTTTTTTTTGGCTGAAAAGGTCTAATGCTGGATTCAGACATATTAACCAGTGCTCAGAGCACACCTTCCAAGAAATCTCTGCACTGGGGATTGGCCCAGCTCAGCCACAGCTCCCAACTCCACACCAACCCCACAGAGATTTGTCTCCACAGTGCACAGAAGTCTCTGTGCCTTCTCTGCCTTTGCAGGCCATAAACTGAAATATTTCTGATGGAAGAGCTGACTCAAGATCCTTTGTACAATCACCATTCCTGGTAACCCCACTGCACTGAACATTGTAACTGTGCTGTGGTAGCAGAATTCACCAGAGACAAAACACATTACCTGGGAATGCTAGAGGCAATGTCAGAGGGAGGAATCAAGCTATGGAATGTCATGGAACTGTCACAGAATGCTCAAACTCCAGAGGTTTGAATGTGCCATAATGTTTGCAAGTCATGTCCCTTGGCATGTCATTCCACAGGATATACACAGAAAAAGTTTTGTTTTGCCATGACTTTGGCACAGAGAACCCACCTGCACTGCTGATGGGGGAACCATAAATACAACTTCCCTGCTTTTCTTCCTTGTAGTTCAGCCTCCTATGGGATAAAATGTACCTCCCTTTTATTTTAACACGTTTCCCTCGAGTTCTGCTTTATCTCTGTCTCACAGATGGGAACGGAGGCCTGGAGGGGCTAATCCTGAAATGCATTTGGAAGATTTCACGGGAAATTAGACCCCCACATGCCTGGAGAACCTGCTGGGGAGAGAAATGACTTTCAGGGCTCACACAGGAGGCTGGTGGGCAGAAGGGAGAGCTGACAGTCCCCAGATTTTGGTCAGTGCTGTGCCCACTGCAGACGCTGCTCCCGGCTCAGGCACAGCCCTCCCAGCGGGGCAGGTGGGGATTTGTTTATTTCCTTAAAGCAAACCCACTAATAATAAACTTTAAACTCTCTTAGGTGGCAAAATGTAGTACATGGGCTTAAACTAACAAGGCTCAAGAGCATCTAAATCCCTGATTAAGTCCCACTTGCCTTTCTAATGAAGATAATCCCCCACTGAATGGCCCCGCTTCCGACCAGGGAGATCTCACCCAGCACTGGCTCCAGAACTGCTCTGTTTTCTCTGCAGTGTTTTCTTAAGATTGTGAATGTTTTCATTCCTTGAAGAGAGTAGGGTGGGAACCAGTCTGTTGTTTCCTGAGGGGAAGGAAACTCCCCCAAATTGCCTTTCAAGAACAGAAGCTGTACAACTTTTCTTGGTGGTGTTTTGTTTTGTTTTGTTTTTATGGGCTCCTCCCGCAGTTAAAAATGTGGCTGATTCCCTCTAACCCCCATCCCTTCCTCTCCTGTCAAACCTAAATATTTCTCCTAGATCCTATCAAACCATTTCCATGTAGTGTGACAGCACCTATAATTCTGAAGTATTTATAAGCCTGTCTGTTTAATATTAAACTACATGCTCCAGAGCTGTTAAATATTTATGCTATGTAAAACGGATCTAATTCCACAGCACCTCGGCCGGTCAGAGACCTGCAGGAGGAAAAGACAGCGGATTTAAGATAACAGATGAGTGGCCAGGATTTTTTACAGGTCAGCTGAGCTCTGTTTCAGGATCTGGGCAGGATTATTCTCTGAATGCTCTGTCCCTTGCAGCCACAGCTGATGGAGGTTCCAGCGCTGCTGGGCAGCCCCCAGGGACTTGGAAGAGCTTTTGCTGCCACATCCAGGGCGAGAATGTTCTGCTCCACCTGGCCCCAGATCTGCCTCTCACCTGCAGCCCCACCTGCCCCAGCAGTCCAGGGTGGAGCTGTGGGGAGCAGCAGTGGGGCTGGAGTCTGAGCTCCAGGGATGTGACACCTCTGTCCACGAGCTCCAAGCCCAGCCAGGAACAGCTCAGGAAGGAGGACACAGCCCAGTGTGTGCAGCACCACCATGCCCAGGGCCCCAGGAGAAGGGCTGTGCTTCCAGAGAGCCTTTGGGAACGCTGCCAGCCCGGTGAAAGTCCCGTTTCACACCCAAGTTAAACACCACCTGCATTTCAGCATCCTGCAGCTTTCCCGGGTTTCCTGGATTTCCAGGCTCTGGATTTTGTAACTGGGAAGCATATTAGGAAATAATGTCCTGATTTTTACAGCCTGCTGTACTTAACATCACTTAACTTTTACAGCCAACAGTAAAATGCTTCGGTGGGCCTGAAAAGAACTCCTTTTTTGAGTGACTGAGCAGGAGTTTTTGACTTTTTGAGCAGGAGCTCGTTCAGCAGACAGGACTATTGGGGCTACAGGGGCAGCTGGGCCACTGGACTCAGCAATTCCTGCCTGTGATTAAGGATCCCTCTTCATTTCACTGCAGAGAATTCTGTGTTGCTGATGCACTGTGCAAACATCGAAGTGCCTGTTAGAAGCAGCACTTTAGGAAGGGACACAGATGGTCCAGCCTCCAGCAGATTCCTCCCTGTCTGAACTTCCTCAGATGTTTCTGGGCGTGTTAAAGCTCTCCAAAAGGCCTTGTGAACACACTGAAACCTGAAATTTATCCACTGGTAAATGAACCCAGGGAGGTACTTGCACAGGAGGGCACTGCTGGCGTTGTCACTGTAACTCCTGCAGGCCACCCACAAAACATCACAGAGCAGGAGAGCTGGGACAGCTCCAGGTGGGGGTTCTTGATCTTCACATGCACTCGAACTCCACCAGGGAAGTGAAGATCCCAGGGCAGGAGTGATGCTGTCGGTGTGCTCTCCTGACACCAGAGGACAGGGCAGTTCCAGCTGGAAGCAGCAGAGACCACTGAGGCAGAGGAGCACAAAGTGAATTTAGGCTCGGGCAGAGTCCTCCCTGCACCAGACCCAGCTCTGAACTCCAGCCCCGACTGGGAGAGGGGGAAGTGTCAGGAGGTGTTTGTTTTATCCACAGAGATCAACTGCCCTGAATAACCCCTGGCTGAAGCCGATTGCCAGAACACACCCCCGTTTTAGTGCACAAAGGAGGGAAAGGACCCAACCTTAACAGCTCATCCCACTCCTATTTTCCACGGCTGTCAACACCCTCATTAACACAGTCAGCTTCAGGGGGATAGAGCTCACTGCAGTGACCTGCCAGCAATAAACAGGTAATCAGGACCAAGAACACAACCAGCCACCCCTCAGACATCATCACACCTCTCTCCTGCTCTCCACGCACCCTCCTGCTTTGCCTCACTAAGGAGGGATTTAGAACCCCACTCCACTGGGATTTTTCCACATGTCCCTTGAGGCCTTTGAATCAGTCAAACTCCACTAAATGCTCCGAGTTTCATCCAGTCCTGTCCGGTGCCAACATGCAGCTCATGCAGAGATTTGTGCCCCTGGAACCGAGTCCGTGGCTCTTCTGTCCCTCCCCGCAGGGACCCGCGGGGCTCTCTCGGCTGGGCTCTGCCACACTGAGTGCCACAGCTGCTCCCAGCCCTGCACCACCCTGGCACCAGACACGGAGCAAACCCAGCGGGCTGCAGACTCCAGGTCACCTTTTCCACCCTTCACTGCAGGGTTTTGGATCAAGCAGAGCAGACTGGACCCGTGGGAGCCACTGCTGTCCTGCAGCTGGGAGGAGGTGGCTTTGCTTCCCTGCTCCGCAGCAGGATTCTCCCGGGATGCTGAACAAGCTCTTGGTGCATTTGTGCCTCCAGCTCATCCCCAAAACACGGCTGCAGAACATCAACCCTGCCACCCCCTCGGGAACAGCCAAATCAAGGACTGCTCCCAGGGAACAGCTCCTGCTCTGACCGACCCCAGGCTGGTTTGGTCGTGAGGTCAGAACTCTGGGACACGATTCCCGAATTCCTGCAGAACCCTGGGCTTGGAGCAGCTGCAAACAGGGACTGAAAGGGTTGGTGCAGGAAAGGGGAGC